AAAAATATTTATTGAAGAAATTATTTCTTTTGTCAAGATTGAAAAAAAAATTATTTTTATGGAATAAATTATTTATTAGTAAAGAAGGTTAGAAAAAGTTAAAGTTTTTTAAAAGGTAGTTTTGAACTTTTGAGATTAAGAAATTTTGCATTAATGAATTCAACGACCTTTTTTATTTTTTATTTTTAAAAAAACATAAAATAAGAGCGTTAAACACACACTGAAACACTATATTCTGGTAATGAGTCTCTATATATTGATCCCAACAATCTGTTGATCCGAAATCAACCAGAGGGTGAATTGGACCATTATAAAAAAAATTTAGTCACCTCCAATATTTCAAAAAAAAATATAAATTAACCATTTTTTTTTTCTTCTTCAAATTCTTTTTTCAATATAATACTAAACGGTGAACTAAATTTATAATCAATAGTCATGAAATGCGACCTCTCCATCATTGTGGTGCAAAATTAATATGCATGATTTGTTTGTGTGAACTCTAACATCTAATTCATAAATAATTCATTTTGATATGTCATTGATTTCATATTGTTCCCACTTCATCTAATTGACGTTTTACACATCAACAATTAAGGAGTAGATTTACAAGGGAATATTTTACCTATAATAACTAGATAATCTTACTTACCAGAGAAAAATACAAGTTTTGAACATCACTTTACCGATAAATAATTTCACTCGATTGCTATTTTATTTCATTTTATACAAAGATGGGATAGAATTCATGCATGTTGGGTAGGTAACGTTAGGGTCCGAATCAAATTCAACTTTAAGGTATAAAACTTTTTATCCGCTACTCAACTTGGGCCAGCCCACTTTCAAAATTTTAAATTGAGCTCTTATTAGATTAGTCAAGTGAAAAATAGGTTAATCTTGGTTTAATACTAAGTCACATAAAGCGGGAGCAGCATATTTCAAAAAATCTTAGAGCGGGAGCGCCACATTATAAACTTATAAAATATTCATTTATAATTGTAAATATATGATTTAAATAAATTTCATACAAACAAAAAGACAAAATAGTAAATCAAATATGAGTCCGTTACAATCAATATAACATATTTTATAAAAATGCATAAATTAATCAAACAAGCTGCTTTATAAAAACAAAAACATAACCGTGAATAGGGCATAACAGAAATAATAATAATAATTACTTCCAAGCATAACCGCATAACAAAAAAAAACAATAATAATAATAATAAATTTCATTCATTTTTATACATTTAACATGCTTTAAGGTCTCAGGATGACAATCATTGTCTTTGAAATAACAATATTCAAAATCAAAGACTCTGTTCGAATCCTCCTTCACTTCAAAGAGCCCTAAACTTAATAGCAGAAATAATATGAAACGTTTTAATATTTTGAACGAGAATAATAGTGAATCAAGGATACAAGAAATTAAGAGTCAAGTGAAAAGTCAAGACTGAAGACTTCATTCTCTCCATTCAAAGAATCTTACACTTAATAGCAAAGAGAAATCATAGATTTAGAATATGAAAAGTTATACCTTCCTTTATATCTTTACTAATAAATATTGAAGGTAAGTCATTAAATATTAACTCTATTGTTATATTATTTGACCTGGACAGAGTTTACTTAATTAAATTAAATTGGTTACTTTTTGACATAATTAACCTTAGAAAAATGATACGAGAATCGAACCAAACAATCGAATGAGAAGTCAAATTTAACGTGGCTTGACCGCGTCAGATTAGATACCTCTTCGTTTCTCTCTCCTTGCTTTCTCTAATTCTGGGTTTTTCTTCTCTATTTAATCATATCTCAATTGATTCTGGTTTTGTGTCTCTCCTTTTGATTTTGCAAAATTGAAGATAAAAAAAAAAAAATTAAAATTTCCATGTTTTGCCAATACAAAAGGTACAAAATAAAAAAAACTACAACTATTGTTTATGTCCTATAAATTTTGTATCCATAAAAATCAAACAGAAACTTTAATATGTGATATGTGTATATGTTTCATCCATACGTTTGGACAAGTCTCAAATTAGAATTAATCTGAAGAAATTTGACCACTAGATTTCGAGAAAGAGGATAGATAAGAAGAATTGATGAAGAACAGGAGAGAGGAACGAAGAGTAAGAGAGAGAAAAATGAGTTAGCGTCTTACGCGTAATGAAATTGTCTGATGTGTCTATGGCCACGTCAAGTTTGGTGTTCTTTTCGGTAGAAATCTTCGGTTTCCCTATCACTGCTTTTAGCCTTATCACCATTTAAGTTGGGATAAAACTAAAACTTTTCAAGATTCACATTAAAATCTGTGAATTTATTTTCCAAAGTTGTCGAATTCTTGGACCGAATACGCCGTTTTACCTTACACAATTGATCAAATTTTTAAATTGAATTTGTGAATTCAAAAATATGAGAGTGTGAATTTTTGGCGAATTCACTCTTAAAACGCCAATTCGCACATGGAGCGATGGAGTGCCACAGGTTTGAACGAATTTTGTGACTAAGGCTTAACATGGAGTTAGATTATTCCTATCATAAAAATTCTAAAAATTAAATATTTGGTTAGCAAATATTATGCACAAATTTTACAATAAAATGTCGAAATGGATTAATATACAATTATTGATATTTAAAGAAAAATTAAAAGAAAAAAGTTAATCATGATTACAAATATATTATTACATATAAAATTATGAATAAACAAAACTATTATTTATTATTTATTTTTTTTCGGAAAGTGAGATTCATTGAAGGGGAGAATGTACAAGCCAGGAAGGAAAGCCCACAAAACATGAACAGCCCAGTTCATCAAAATAAACAAAAGAAGATATAGGAAAGCCCAAACATACACTAAAGACATGCAAAGGCCAAAGCCTTACAGAAACAAAGACACTTCTAGTCTAACCAACTGTAGACTATGCGTGTCTAAATTGAACATTCTTCCGGTGAGAACAGAGATTAGGGTTCACAACCCTAAGTGGCTTGATCCGGTGGCTCCGACGAAGGTCTGATGAAGGACGGCAGATTCTAGTCCAGTTGCAACCGTCTAGCAAGAAGAGAGTCCTTGACTGTTATGGTGAGCAATTTTGATCGGATCATATCAGTGATTTGCCTGAACAAAACCAATATTAAAACTAGGTTTGGGTTGGGTTGATATTGTCAACACCTCAATCAAAAACATCCTCGATCAAAAGCATTCCAGTTGGGTTCGCGGGATTTGAGTATGATATGAAGCACAGGGGTAGTGCAGGCTTTGCTTAAATGGGTCATGAAAGGTTGGAGTTTGCCGGAGTTGCTAGGCCAACTTCTTCGTGTTAAGTTTGGGCATTTTTGAAAGAGTAAAAAGGCAAAATGGCTATTACAGTGTTACCTTATGTTAAATTTTTTTTTTTTTAAAAAAAGTATTTTGACTGCAAAATATTAAAACATTAAAATAGAATTTTAAGTACATTTTTTAAAATAGAATATACATTAAAAGTGTTTTTTGCATTTACCCACTAAAAATACCATCAATGAAATCTTTTTAAAAAAAAACCCTATCGATTGGGATTTGTAGACTCAGATTTTGAATTAAAAAAATTCAATCCAAAGTTGTAAATAAGAATAAAAGAAAACAAATATACCAATGCATTCAAAATAAAATAAAATAAAAATAAGTATAATATATAAAATCAGATTTATTGTGTCTTAAGTGGCTCGGTCTCGGTCTCGGTCATACACATTCATTGTAATTGACTTCCATAGTTAAGAATTGATCGAGTATTAATTAAAATTACATTTTTATCATCTAATAAAAAAAAAAGGGTTAAATTAATCTAAATATTCAAAATAAGAAGAAAAATTATAAGGCGTAAATAAAGTTTATGTTAAAATGACTTAACTATTCATAATAATTGAGTTTAAACATGTAACATATTATATATGTCATATTTACGATTATAACATGTTGAATAAAATGGGTTGAACCCTTCAATCCTAACCCAACACGATTAAGTAAATGGGTTAATCGTGTCAACCTGTTTATGACCTAAACCCGTTTAAGATCAACCCAAACCTATATTCGTGTCGTGTTGATGAATTGTGTCGTAATTTGTCACCCATATTTGAAAGTAACTATTAACTCCCGGTTCTTTCCTAAATCAACTTGCAAATAATCCTATTTACACAGCAAATGCAAACCTTCTCTAATCATGAGAACGGTTACGAGAGCTTCAGTATCCCCACGAGAATGAGAGAGCATGACCCACTCCTTTGAAGAAAACAGTAGACACGTTAACAGCTACTTATTAAATGAAGAATTAGTGTTAAGTTTTTGACAAGAATGTTAGGTGGTCAGTGAATAGAGGGCGAGGGAGAGGGTGCAAGGCTCGAATGCGATACTTGGCTCTCAAAGTTAGGGAGCAATCCAATAACTCGGGCAACACGACACTTGGTGTATGGAGTAATATAAACTCACCCTTATGAGCTTATTTTTTTAAAAGTAAAATTACTAGCCACTTTAAAATTTGAACAAATTACACATATTATACCATTCAAGTTATACAAAGGTTTATTATTTTGACATTTTTTAAGATTTGGGACAATTTCTTTTCAGCAAACATGTTAGAACAATTATTATTCTATTATATAAAATATAATATAATATATTATTAAAATATAAAAACATTATCAACTTAAGAAAAATTAAAGTAATAAATATAAAACCCTTTGATTAATGTCTACTTTGTTTGTTGGTAAAAAAAACAAAGTGTAATTAATTTCAACTTTGAAATTTTTTTTTTATTAACGCCAAGCTAGAATACACTAAATTAGGAGTCTAAATTAAACTGAAACACTAAATAACACATCTTTTCAAATCAATCAAACACACAAATGCATCATAAAAACAACTTTCAGATCACAAATAAACGGTGTAGAACACATAAGGTGCATCATCTTTAATGCACACCAAACACACAAAATTAAAAAATTTAGTAGTTTTTAAGCCCAACACAAAAACACTAGGCGTTCCATATAAATCGCTGTTAGAGTTCTTGAACAATTCTTCAACCATAACGTATCCACTATTTATAACCCTCACAAAACACTCCCTCCTCTTCAACCTCCAAACCCTGCAACTCTCTCTCTAGTTTTTTCTCTCTCTACAATGGCTGCCTCGACCCCCCTCCTAAAGGATGAACTAGATATAGTCATACCGACTATCAGAAACCTCGATTTTCTCGAGATGTGGAGACCCTTCTTCCAACCCTATCATCTGATCATCGTCCAGGACGGTGATCCTTCGAAGACCATCGGAGTCCCAGAAGGGTTCGATTACGAGCTCTACAATCGAAATGACATTAACAAAATTCTGGGTCCGAAGGCTTCGTGCATTTCGTTCAAGGACTCTGCCTGTCGCTGCTTTGGGTACATGGTGTCAAAGAAGAAGTATATCTTCACAATTGATGATGATTGCTTTGTAAGTTCTTTAATTTTGGTGTTTTTCTATATGGGTTTTTGTTTTTTAATGATAAAGTTTGAATCTTGAATATATATAGGAATGGAATGTGTGCGTATTCATCATATATTTTATATCTATTTTGTTGTTCTGTATCTAGGTTTTGTTTTATCTAAGTATGTCTTCACAATTGATGATGATTGCTTTGTAAGTTCTTTAATTTTGGTGTTATTCGGTGTGTTTCTAGATGGGCTTTTGTTTATAAATGATAAATTTTAAATCTTGAATATATATATATATATATATAGAGAGAGAGAGAGAGAGAATGTGTGTGTAATCATCATATATTGTATATCTATATTGTTGTTCTGTATCTAGGTTTTGTTTGATCTTCTGTATTTGTTAATTACAGTTTGCAAGAGTATTTGTAGAAAATTGGTTGATTTGATTTTTGGGATATTCTGGCCATCATTTATATTTATATTTTATTTTGCATATGATATGCTATTATTTTTTGTTGTAATATATGCTAGGCAGAGTATTTGATCGCAAGGGATTTGGTTGATTTGATTTTTGGGATATTCTGGCCATTTTGTGTGTGTGTTTTGGTTGTAATATATGGTAGGCAAAGTTTTGATGCTGTTTTAATCAACAGAGAATCATTTGCAAGAGTATAGGTTTTGTAGAAAATAAAATTAAAATATAGTCTTTTTTTTTTTTTTTTTTTTTTTTTTTTTTTTTTTTTCTGTGTATATGATCTGTTATTTTGTTATTATTATTATTATTGTTTGGGAGGCAGAGTTTTTGATGATGTTTTAATCAACAGAGAATCAATATTTTCAGCTTCCAATGAATTGATTATCTGTAATTGTAGGCTCTGCCAGTGGGTGAAATTGTAGATAAAACTATGTTATAAATTGCAGCAATTATCCTTATATTTAAAGAAAATACAATTTTGTGATTTAAAAAGTGTATGCACTTGAATGTACTTGTGTATGAGCTCCATTTGGTTTTGAGTTTCTTTGATGTCTCTGTTGCTTCCTAACATAGCAATTCCCAATTACTAAGGTTAAGTTTTGATCAGGGCTTTAACTATTTTAGTAGAATATCATTGACATTGCTAGTGATTATAATAATTTTTTTTGTTTGATAAATTAGTCGAATATTTTTATGTATGTTTGCATTCTTTGTTTACACTTTCAAAATAATTTAGCTGTGCTCATTTTAGTCATTGTTGCATCATAATTTTCTTTTTTGCTATGAGATTTTTGTTTATTTATTTATTTTTGACACAAAATAAATAGTTTTCAGTTGCAATTCTGATTGGTCTTGTGTCATGAATTTCTTATTTCTTGTTGATCTTTAGGTTGCTAAAGACCCATCCGGGGAAGACATAAATGCCCTTGCACAGCATATTCAGAACATTCTTGCTCCATCAACTCCCTATTTCTTCAACACCCTTTATGACCCTTTTACGGAGGGTGCAGATTTCGTCCGTGGATACCCTTTCTCCTTGCGCCAGGGTGTTCCAACTGCTGTTTCCCATGGCTTGTGGCTCAACATCCCAGATTATGATGCTCCTACACAGCTTGTGAAGCCTCGTGAGAGGAACACCAGGTTTGTACTTTCTTTACAAGTCATCGGCCAATCTACTTAAGAAAGAATTTGTAACTTCATATATTTATTTGTTACCGATGATTGCTGTTATATGCTTTATGCTTGATCAGGTATGTGAATGCGGTTATGACAATTCCGAAGGGAACCCTGTTCCCCATGTGTGGTATGAATCTGGCATTCGACCGTGAGCTCATTGGCCCTGCAATGTACTTTGGACTTATGGGTGATGGTCAGCCAATCGGGCGATATGATGATATGTGGGCTGGCTGGTGCACCAAGGTGCCTTTCGTTTTCCTTTTATCCCATTACTCACCTATTTGTCGCAAAAACAAAATTGAAGTTTTAGTAAATCTATTAAGGATACACTTCAACTTAGATGGACTTTTTGCATCCAGAAACTAGATACACTTCAACCTAGATGAATTTTTTGCATCCAGAAACTAAAACTCAATTGAAACTTAATAAACCTATTAAGTATGCACTTCAACCTAAAAAGGCACAATATGTTCAAAAACTTATTGAACAACTAACTAACCTTATTGGTGATTGCTGCACTTTAAACATATATGAACCACTTACCAACACATATATGTTGCAAAACACAATTGAAGATTAATAAACCTGTTAAGAATGCACTTCAAACATAGACTTTTTGCATTGAGAACCTTATTTGTGATCGCTGCACTTGAACGTATATGAACAACTTACTAACACGTTGCAAAACACAATTGAAGACTAATAAATCCAATAAGAATGCACTTTAAACATAGATTCTTTGCATTGAGAACCTTACTGAACAACTGACGAACCTTATTGGTGATTGTTGCACTTTTAACATAAATGAACAACTTACTAACACGTATATGTTGCAATACTCAATTGAAGATTAATAAACCTATTAAGAATGCTCTAAACATAGGATTTTTGCAGTGAGAACTTTATTGAACAACTGACAAATCTTATTATTGTTGATTGTTTAGGTGATATGCGATCATTTGGGATTGGGAATCAAGACAGGGTTACCCTACATTTGGCACAGCAAAGCGAGCAATCCGTTTGTGAACCTAAAGAAGGAGTACAAGGGCATCTTCTGGCAAGAAGAAATCATCCCATTCTTCCAAGCAGCCACCCTTTCGAAAGACTCCACCACTGTTCAACAGTGCTACATTGAGTTGTCGAAGCAGGTTAAGGAGAAGCTTTCGAAAGTGGACCCTTACTTTGACAAGCTAGCTGATGCCATGGTCACATGGATTGAAGCTTGGGATGAGCTCAACCCAGCTAAAGAATCTGCAGAACTACCCAACGGTTCGGCCAAGTGAAAATTTTGATCGACAGTACCTTCCTTTGATTTTATAGAGCTATGGATTCAATAGTTTTCGTATCTTTATTTCATTATATTTCTCAAGCTTATCTTTATTTCATTATATTTCTCAAGCTTATTTGATCATTACTTGAGTTTGACTATTGGTGGATTTAATAACTTATTATTTAAATTTTATGAGCATGAAATGGCAGATATAGTTTTTTGAATCACACTATTTGCTTGTGCTTTTTGACAATGATACAAAGAGTAGTTGTGGGCTGTAGGCAAATCTTTGGTTTGGCTCGTAGTAGTAATTTTATTTGTGTGGCTTTCTACCCATTTTTATTTGGAGTATTAGGTGCACTCTAATTTAATTTAAATTGAAGAATATAAAATCGTCAGAATTCAATCGTGGAGTGGGACCTTCAAGTAACGGATTCTAGCCAATTGAAAGGATCTTCTGATCAATCCAGAGATCATTTGGATTCCATTAGTAATGAGGATTCGGAATATTACACATTGATCAATCAAAGAGAGATTCAACAACTAAAAGAAAGATCGATTCTTTGGGATCCTTCCTTTCTTCAAACGGAACGAACAGAGATAGAATCAGACATGCTCCATATCATTTGATTGAATAGTTGACCCAGCCCCTTGTTGTTTGAAGAAACCCTCCACTTCAATTGGTATTTTTTCACGAAAAGCAGACATGAGATAACAAATCCAGTGTTTCACTAAGATTTCGAATAGTGGTCCTGAATTCAAGTTGATTATATTTCGCCTCTTCCTCAGAGAAAGACGATCAAACAATTCCCAACCAATTTCATTCAAAATCACATTACACCTATTCAAATGGTATGATTTCTATTCCTCAAAGATGAGGTTGAATGTTCACACTATGGCGCACAATATTTACTTGAATTTTTTATTTATTATTATTATTATTTTTGTGAAATTAAAAAAAGAAAAAAGAAAATGGAATGATAACAGACAGGATTAGGATTGCCCCATATTTAATTGGATTAACCGGATCTTATGCAGTAAGACTTGGAAAAATGACATTATTTCATTTACAACCAGAGCTAAATTGTATCAAACTAAAGTGTTAGTATAGTTCATTCATTTAGCAATTTTTTTTTTATTTTTTTTTATTTTTTTAATATATATAGAAATTTTGTATATCAAAGTGGATCTGAACACAATAAATGTTAGTATTGCTCATCCATTTATTTATTTATTTTTTCGACAAATTATTATTGAAATTGTTGAACTTGTAAATTTTTTTTTAATCTTTTTTATTTTAAATGTTTTAAGTTATTTATATCACATTGAGGTCCTTCTAACTATTTTTAACCCGAATAATTATTTTACTTTATTTTAGATTTGCAAAAAAATAAAAAAATAAATAAAAACTAATAATATGGTAACATTACTTATTTTAATAAATATATTGTGATAGTCAGCCTTTGGTTTCCATCTAACAGTCAGCCTAAGCTGTATGCTGCAAGATTGTATGAGCCTATTCTTATAAGGGCGGAGTTGGAATTGACAACCAAACTATATATACTTCATAACCAATTATTTTGGTTGCCGCATAAGATAAGCAAATAAGGAATAATTCTTTAAAATATCTAAGATATATAGACATTTCCTCCAACTTTCGTAAATATTCATCACATTCTATAAAACTCCATTTTTTTTTACCACTCATTCATACTGGAAACCAATAAACTCAATAATGCCACATAGACCCCATTTAATCAACTATTAAGCACACGCGGGTGTATGTGCTCAATACTTGGTAGGACACCACAAGAGCAATAATCTATTGAGAGATACATCTTACTATGATTCCTCAAGTGTAATGTTAATTGTGTTAAAAAGAAAAAAAAAAAAAAAAAGTGTAATTTTAATTGTGTTTAAAAAAAAAAAAAGTGTAATGTTAATTGATTATTTTTTGGCCATTCCAATAAATAATATAACAAAGATTTTTATATAATAATTAATAAATAACAAACTTTTATCAACTGTTTGTTTTTTTGTTTTTTTTTTTTTGTTTTTCGCAAATTAGGGGAAAAATGATTTGAACACGAGCACACCCGTTCGGGAAGTTAGATACTCTACCAATTAGACCATTGGATAATGGCCATAACATAGACTTTTATCATTTTTCCTATCGCTGCATGTGTATAACTTATTTATGTTTTGAAATTGAAGTAACGAACAAGCTGAATTCTTCTTCTCTTTTTGTCTTCTTTTTTTCATAAATAAATTTAAAAAACATTTTTATTTTCATTTATTTGTTATTATTATTTTGATATATGAAGATTTAAGATTTAATTTTTTAGGTTTTATTTTGGTAAATTTGTTCATTATAGTTTGCTCGAATCTAGGTTTTGTAGAAAAGTGCTATTATGGCAGTTTTTTTTTTTTTTTTTTTAAGATCTATTTCTCTTTCTTTTCTTTTTTATTTTATTTTTTTTATCTTTTCTTTCTTTTTTCTTTTTTAATTGTTATTATGGTTTGTTATTTGGTTTATGTTGTATCGTGTCCTCTATTTTTATTTATTTATTTATTTTTTATGTTGTAATTTAACATTTATGTGACGTACATCCTTTTGTAATTATGCTAAAGGTTATAATTGGTTGAAGGCAGACCAACAGACAATCATTATGTTCAGCATCAACCATTATGTAAATAGGAGAATTTTTGGACTTCTTTGTGTTATGAAATTGCAGCAATGAATTGTTAATGAATATATGTAAGATGGATTTAGTTGTTCGTTCCCCATTTTTTTAGATCCAGAGATGTAATTATATGAAATGGATTTTAACGTCTTTAAAAAATTCATTTTATCTAACAGATTGCGCAGTTAAAAGTGTGTGGACTTTGGAATTTATTTTGGTTTTTTTTGGTTCTATGAGCTCTGTTTTTTACTGAAATTTGGATTTTTAGGGGTTCAATGATAATTACAAGTAATATGGGGTGATATCTAAATACAAAAAAAAATTGTGATGGAAGATGAACAAGAGCCTTATGCGGAAGAGCTGGAGACTGACAAAAGCACCGACCTCCTTTGTTGTGCATGGAGGCCTTTATTCATAGTCCCAGCCATTGGCTTGGCTCTCGAGGGTAAGGCCCAGAGCTTGGGCCCACCCTGGTAGGATAGTCATCATGACCCTATTAGGCCTAATAGGGTTACTTTGGTCTTTTTAGCTCGAGGGTAAGCACTATAGCATTAAATGCACATCCTTTCAAAAGTAGCGGTTGCAGCTGAAAATCATTAATGTGATTATCAGTATCACAGTGAGGTCGTATCCTTTCGCCCACGGAATCTTTGAGGATATCTTTAGGTATCCTCATGTGAGCGTGATTGTCTAGAGATACGGCGATACTCTGCCTCCTTTGGCCCACGGGATCTTTGGTTATCCTCATGTGAGCGTGATTGTCGAGAGATACGGCGATACTTGAGCTCGACCTGTGTAATGCTTGCCGTGAGGACCTTGGGGTCGGGATGGATAGTCAAGCTCGAGCTCGATGGGAACCCTAGGGGTGTGCCACGTGGTCATGTGGGTTACATCCCTACATGATTCAATCTCATAACTATATTTTGTTAATATAATTTAAAAATCATTAATACACAGTAACTTTGTTGAATTTTTTAGTCAGAAGTAATTCTTAAAACATCCAAGTTTTTAACATGATGGAAGCCTCTCCCTCTCAAATGTCTTCGCAATTATGATGTCCTTGAGCATTGTAGAAATAAGTGTGTGCGTGTTTGACGCAAGTTGACAATTGCTGAGTTTAGTGAAGTATGTAGGTGGTTATACATGCAAATTGTGTGGCTAGGCAAACACAACCTTTCCCTATTAAATTAAGCATTAAGAAAAGAAAAAAGATTGGCCAACTGAGAAAATCAAAGAGAAAAGGATTTCTAAAATTTGCATATAAGTTGAATAAGTACACCTCCTAAATGGCACAAAGTTCATCAAGTGTCGGCTGTTTTCAAGTGGCAAGTCACACACACATAAAAGCCAATCAACCGGCTAGGCCAGTGTACCATGCTTCCTCGGTGAGTTTGTAAGAAATCTTACCTCCATGCAGAGGCTGTTTTCGGTTTCGAACTCGTGCATCAAGCCAACAATACCCACACTCATGCCACTCAACCAATTGGTGAAAATCAGGACCGTCCAGCGTCTGAGGCTATAACAAAATAACTAGTTCTGTTCCATTAATTTCAATGACGCCATTCTGATAAGTATTGAGTTGAGTAGTAAAAAGCTCAAGATCAGCAATGGCCACTTTTAGGCTCTTAACTAGAATTATAACCTTGAACGCGCACACACTAGAATTATTATTCTTGTCCTTTTGCAGTCACTCATTTAAACCTATGTTATAGGTTTGCACATAATTTACCAATAGTAAATCAATTATAACTGAACTAGCAAATATGATCCATGGAAAAATGTTATAACTAACAAAATAATCCATGGAACTAGCCAAGGTTTGATTTGATGCAATTGAACCCTCCGCAGTCCGTGTATATGTGTGTCTTTGTGTGCGCGTGTAGATATGGTCTGCTTTGTAAACTCTTGTGCTCACAGTTTCCAAAAATAAGTCTACACATTTAGGAGAGAGAGAGAGAGAGAGAGAGAGAGAGAGAGGAGCACTCACACGTTCCCTACTCAAAATAAGCATGCATGCTGAAACTTCTCTCTTGCTGGCTTGTTAATTTGTATGAGCAAACTTCACAATATTTCTGAAATCTGTCTATTACTTTGCTCATTTAAGTAAACAAACATCAAATAAAACTCCAAACAATCCATCCCAGATATTATCACAACAGTGGGCACAATTTAAATTTTCTTGTCACAGACACATCTAACATCACAGACGCTCCAATAATGATATCCTTCAAATATATATTTTCCTCCGACTCATCTATCATCAAAGATGCTCAAACCCCCCTCACCAATTTACATCTCTTGGTAGTAGTGGCTTTAACCATAGCCATTTATTGCTTTTCTCGCAGATTCAACTGCATCTACCTCATCGACTTCTCTTGTTATCAACCACCCGATTTCATGAGAATCTCAACTGGCGAATTCATCGAACACTTTGAGACAGGTGACCATGACAGAGAGACCATTGATTTTCAAGTGAAAGTAGGCAAAAGATCAGGCATTGGATGCGAGGCGTGTCTGCCTCCTGCGTTGCATCAACTTCCACCAGATTGCTCCTTGAACCCAACCCGAGAAGAGATTGAAACAGTTCTCTTCACAGTTGTGAAAGACCTCTTTTCCAAACACAATGTAAGTCCCAAAAACATCGACATAATTGTAACGAATTGCAGCCTCTTCTGCCCAACACCATCCATCACGACCATGATCATAAACAAGTTTGGACTCCGAAGTAATGTCAAAAGCTTCAGCCTCAGCGGAATGGGTTGCAGCGCAGGACTCGTGTCCATAAGTTTGGCCAAAGACCTTCTACGAGTCCACAAGAACTCTCTAGCATTGGTTTTAAGCATGGAAGCAATTGTTGCAGGTTATTATGATGGTAAAACCAAGTCCATGATTTTAGCCAATGCTCTGTTCCGGATGGGAGGAGTAGCTGTTCTACTATCCAATAAGAAGACTGACAGGAGGACAGCCAAGTACAAGCTCGAACACCTTGTCCGAACTCATATGGGATCGAATGATCAATCCTACCAAGCAGTCTTCCAAGAACCAGATGAGAATGGCATTGTAGGGGTGTCTCTGTCCAAGGCACTTTTACATGTAGCTGGCAATGCCTTAAGGAGGAACATATCAGAATTAGGTCCTCGTGTCTTGCCTTACTCCGAGCAGTTCCAATATGGATGGTCAGTACTTTGTCGGAAAATTGGGGCTCAGGCAAGACACAAGAACATCTATGTGCCAAACTTTAAGAAGGCTTTCGACCATATCTGCATACATGCCGGTGGAAGAACTGTTATTGATGCAGTAGCAGACAATCTCGGTCTCACCAAGGAAGATGGAGAAGCGTCAAGGATGACTCTATATAGATTTGGTAACACTTCATCGTCTTCGGTTTGGTATGAGCTCTGCTATCTAGAGGCAAAAGGGAGGGTAAAGAAGGGAGATAGGGTATGGCAAATTGCATTTGGAAGTGGTTTCAAATGTAATAGTGCAGTCTGGAGATGCATTTCAGAGCTAGATCAGAATGTAAGAAATGCTTGGTCAGATAGAATCCATTTGTATCCTGTGGAGATTCCAGATGTTTCTGACCATTGACACCCAATTCCTCCATGTAGCATCTTTCAACCCACCCATCCCTCTTCAGGAAATAAAAGAGTATGTAAGTTCATGATCTGGAGGTCTTTTTTTGCAATAAATGGTCTTCCATTTCACTAACAGAAATGCATAAATATATAGACTGGTAAAGTTATTCAGAAGCTGAAAATTTCAATAGTTGTGAAGATTACCGTGACAACTGTTTGGTGTTTTTTGCCTTCCCAGGGCAGGTCAATAGTCCATTTTTCATATGCTGGCATGTGTCCCTTTAGTCCGACTGATCTGGTAATGAGAAATCTCCAAATTCAGAAACTCCATGAAGACTCCAAGCATACATTCAATGAACTGCAATGAGAAACATAATGTACACAAAAGGTGATAGATCAAAGAAAGTACAACATAAATATAAATTTACATTTAAAATCAGAGATCATAATTCCCTCTTCATACAAAATTCAACAAGGCACCTTACATTAACATGGTCCACACAGCAGAACAAAAAATTAACTTGTTACAATAGTATGTGAATAAATAAAGTAAATTAAAAAGGAAAAAAGAGTAAAAGCCTACATTGCACTTTATAAAGTAAAAAATTAACGCCTAATCAGTTTTTATCCTCAGTTCCCTAAGGGCATTTTGCAAAATTATTAAACATTGGAAAGGTGTCTTATATTCTGCTGCTTAGAATATAAGATGGTTTATATCTTCAATGATTCGGAGAGTGAAAAATCACAGAGTGAGAGAGGATGGAACTCAAAATTGGCTGGAGCAAAGGTACATGAACAAATTAAAAGGAGGTTCGCTCATTTCTCATTCAATGGAAGTTGGATCTTCTGTCTTCTTGCGCTTGGCTTGGGGTTCATCACCTTCGTCGTGGTTGTTAATCCCATTCACTGCTTGTGGACCTAAAAGAGAAATGTGTTTCTCGGTAATCTGACGACCTGCTCTGAGCTTTGGGCCCCAGTGCCTTTCAGGATTTGGAAGGAACCGGGCAACCTTCTTGGCTTGTGCTTTGCTAAGGGATGCAACAGCTCGTGCAAAATTAGCCTGCCCAAAGGAAGAAACAATTCAAACAACAATGCAAGAATCTGAAGAACTTCAATTAGTTTCTTGCTTCTTTTTTATTTCTTTTTCTTTTCTCAGATAAATTGGTGAGTGAGAGTTCCAACATTTATTTCTCACCCACCACTGAGACAGCATTTGTTCTCCATAAAATGTGTATACCTTGCAAATTTGACCCCAAATGGAAATTGAAAAATTAATATATGTATATATATATATATATTGACAGAATTACAATGAAGATGAAATCAAGAAGGAACTTGGGACAACATATGCTTAAAATGGAGAGAGAGAGAGAGGTGAAAGTACACACTTGGAGAACTGGTTCCTTGGCAAGTATAACACTTCCTGCCTGATCAGGAGGCTGTGCTTTCACGGGATGACTCTTGACCTACACAAGAAAATCATACAGAAAAAATACTAAAGAATCTGGTGAAATTAATTTATATAATATTAGTGAGCTTTTTATCTGCATGCAAAATGTCAAGCCCAAGTAAGAATCCCTTTGAAACAATTGCTTCAACCCACTATATACACAATTAAATTACCCAAAAAATAAAGAAGGGGGGGATGGAGGTGCATGAAATTCTAAAAATAGTTAATTATTGAAACATCTAGTATATGAGACAAGGGGAACATGTGAATACAGACCCACAAAAGCTAATGCATGAACCCAAACATTGCAGTAGTACTAATTTACTTACCCAGCAACGCATTATGTCCCAAATGACATCCATGGGAGCATCTGATTTTAGCCCTAATGGATTCACATGAGTTCCTGATATACGATATCCTGCATTGATCACAGCAGAGCGGAATATCACTGCTGAAGGTGAAGTGCATTTTAACGTTCCACAGAGATTGTGCAAACTCAGAAACAGAGGAACATCAGGCAATTCCTGCAAACCGTACACCCATACGAATAAGTCGTAATTGTGACGTTTATTACCAATAAATCTTTTTTCTGTATATAAATAAGTATAAACAATCAATGTAAAAGGAAAAAAGTTCACATGCACAAAATGAAAATAATAATAATAAATAAATAAAATGAAGGAACACATTACATTATTTCAAAGGAACATTAGTTTCAATATATTTCATTTGAAAGTATTTGTCCTGAGAAAAAAAATATAGAAGGTTCTCTTGAAACATCAACATCTTCTATAAAAATGCAGCCATACTTCCATTATTTGCTTTACACTGACATCGAGAACTGAACAACCTTGAAGGTAATTTATATTCTAATAATATAGAATACCATATCAGCTCAAACACAAACATACCTCTGAAATTGTTGTCAATATAGCAGAGATTCGATCATAAGCAGGATAACTGTCCCTCACTAATTTCACATCCGCTAATATGGAAGTTACCCATTCTTGATCATGAATAGGAGCAGACCATAGAGGCCCACCCATGTTGTATTTCTTCCCACAATCAGTGCACTCTTGCGGAACAACAGGACCGAACCCAGGTAGGTTCCTTACACTGTTATACTTGAGAAAGGAAAAAAGAATATTAAATTGTTGTCAAAAATTAGAATTAAATAAATCAGAAACCAAAAAACTGATCCTCAACATGGACTCAATTATTGCCTTCCAAAGAATGCATAATGTAGGTTCAACGCATACAAGCCCTTGGGTCTACAATTTGTAAGGTGCAACAAAAAGGGACTTATGCTCCTTTTGGCTACTGAAATAAACTTGAGTAGGAGAGGTTTTGGATCTGGCACGTTAATAAAGATTCCAAATCTTCTTATATGTTAACCCAATTTCTCAGCAACAGTAGTCAAGTTCCACACAAAGCAAAGCAGACAGGTTAAAGCTACATCAAAGGCAAATGGGAAAGTTGATACCTTGGATACAGTCCTCCCAATCGACTGAAGATGAAAAGAATCACATCCAGTGCACTGATATAAATAAGAGAGCTTAAGAGGAGTGTTCTTCATTGCACTTGCAGAACTGCAACAAATCATTTCAGATTCCAGTCAAATACAAACTAACTGAAGGACCCACTGCATAACAATACGAAGTGAAATGCCTTTGTAATTCTAGTAATTATGTAAGTTTGCCGTACTAATGTAAACCACAATCAGGAATTTAAGAAGCTCACGTGTATATGCGAACAAAAACCCGAACGTAAAAATCCATCTGCACGGATAGCACTGGAACAATATACCGCTTGTATCGATTTGCATGGCTCTGCATTTAAGAATAAAACTTTGAAATAATACATCACTACTTGCGATTGAAATATTAAATGATGGTGAATAATGAAAATGACAAATTGTCACAGTAATAGTACACAAAAGAGTACAAAAAAACCAGAAAATATATATCTGTGATGGACTGATGGGTGGGACATGACAGGAGAAATGGAAGAATCAACGAATACTACACCATCTCCAAGGAATATAGAAATCTTCAAAAATAAGATAAACTTTCTTTCTATATATTCCGGAATGTGGGGAGACAAAAAGAAGGAAGAGGGAGAAAGAAAAGAGAGAGAGAAAGTTTCCAATTCATAGTTGCCAAGCCTTCAGCTTCCAGTAATGTAATACATTATACATCAAAGATGAAAATAAGGATTAGTTAGAATCAATTTATAAGCACCCAAAGAAGGTTTAAATAGTATATAGCACCAAACAGCAAACAAGGAGAACTCGTTCATGGTGAATTTACACAAAATCCACCTATTAGTTTGGAACGAGATTACAGGTGCTCATGGAACTTAGCTATAGCAGAACAAACAAAGAAAGCATCCTCAAAGGAATGTTATGATGACACAGCTGAAACTATAAATTCTGCTGAAAGAAAACCAACGCACACAACAACAACAACAACAAATCCAAATATTCATACATACTTATTTACTCAGACAGGAACCACAAAGTCTATCTCTAATTACATTTGAAGAGCCAAAATTTATTTTAAACCTTCCAGATTATGTTTTATTGTTACAGGGCCCATTAAGCTCAATATTTCATTCTATTACACCTTCATATCCTAAGTCACACAATTCTTTTAAACAGGTGCTGCTCTCACCATGCATTTCCGCTCCTGCTCTAACGCTCTGCGCGCATTTCCGCTCCAGTCCCGCTCCAGTCCCCACTCTGTATGACTTTGATTTTTCCACTCTCACACTCTCGCTCTGTGTGACTTAGTTCGTATCCAAACAACCCTTGTCAACAATTCTTACCAACATCAACCCATGTCACTCACTTCCCAAAAAAACACCCCCCAACTTGCCCCAGAACAAAATAAATAATCAAAGATTTGTCTACAATATGCTGTGTTGATGGATAAAAATTTTAACATGACAATAGAATTACCTCAATGCAGGCAAGGAGGATCCTCAAGGCCATTTCATGGCAATATTTTCCCCTCAGTGGATAGGAACCATACCTGATTCCAAAAGCAGCATTAGATAAGCCCGCTAATCATAAGCCATTGATCTAGCAAAGGCAAGGGGAGTTTAAAACCATACTTTGAATAGCAAACCTCCCCATTACCCCCACATAGCACTGCCATATCAGTTGCTGTACACATTAACATGCCTCCATCAACAACCGATTGAACCGCGGAGTCCAGGAAAACAGAAGGTGAACCATAAGGATCGAGATCAACCTGAAACATCGACAAAAAATTTAAAGTATGAATCACAGCTCGTGGTAGAGATCATCTAGAAAACATTCCCTTAAGCCTCTCTTGTCAACATGGGAAAGATTGGCAGACACTACTCCAACGTAATTCAGTATTACCAACACCAATTTCATCAATTTATGCTTGGATGACCACAAAAAACTTTCTATCATAGTTCCTTAATGAGATGGACACCAAAATATCCATAGCCTGAGAACTTATCTCCACATGCATGTCTTCACATAGAATTCAACAATAGAAAAGAAAAAGAAATAAAAAAAATTGGAAAATAAGATACATATAACATACCACATCAAATTCTTTTGGGTGGGTGAGCATGTAAACTCGGGCATCAGCAAGGTGTGACTCCACCTTCGAACATGCCACTGAACCATTAAATTTTATATTTCTCCTGCAAGCTTCAACAGAAACTGCAAAACATATGATGACAACTCCCTTTAGATATAGGTTTCAGTTACAGACCAAATAAGACACAGCTTGATTTGTAACATAAAACAATTTGTTAATGCCAGTATCTATATTTGCAATGCAACAAGTACATAGTTGTGAATATTAACCGAAACAGCATATTGATTTATTTTTACATTCTTGATCATTCATGAAGATGTTCTTTTCAAGTTGAAGAACAAAGTCCCTTCTTGAACAATTTGTAATAACAGAATGTAGAATATAAAAAAGATGAAACTACCTTTATCATTGTCCAGGGCCACAACTTGACCAATACCTTCTACTTCACGGGCATATCTTAAAGCTCTTAACCCTGAAGCTGACAAAGCCTATAACAACACAAGTAAAGCACTTGCTGAAATTAAAATCAGGACTTATTTAAAATTTCCACAAAATTAATTAAAGGTAATAAAAAAAACCAAATAGAAATAAAATGACACAGAATCAACAAACACCTCAAGAACTCTTGGCGGCTTCAACTCCCCTTGTCCTTTTCCCTCAAGTTTTTTGACTGCTTCTTCTGAGATCAGTAATTCATCATTTGATATCTCTTCTGACTCTTCACATTTGCCATTAGATATTTCATTATGCATAGCAGACTCCACAGATGCTTCTGGTTTGGAAACATTCCCTCCTGACACCTTTTGTGTTGTTTTTGTTCTTCTGGAAATCATTGCTTCATGCTCCCGTTTGCGTTTGGAAATAAATGTCCTCAGGACAGCAATAGACATGTCCCTGTTGTTCACCTGGTTATCATAATGTTGCAAGGTCAGAATCCTCGTACTCTATTGGAAACCACAAAGCTCACTGGCTTGGGAAGGATACTCCAAAAAAGAATAGGAGCTATTTCGAAATTGATTGTCCATCAGTCCATGAAAGTATGGGACAGGTCTAGTTTTTTTTTTTTTTTTTTTTTTTTTTTTTTTTTTTTTTTTTTTTTTTCCCCTCTTTCAGTGGAAATGTGGAAATGTGACTAGTTTAGTTGCCATCATATAGGAGCTATTTTTTTTTTTTTGATAAGTCATCATATAGGAGCTATGTTGAACATGAAGAATACGAACAAGAGCTTGAATCCAAGAAAATTCTACCATACAGGAACCAGAAATATGAAGTCGTCATCTTCATAATAGAATAGCACTCTGTGAGATAGTTTATGTATGCACCTAATTTGAACAAATTATTCAGTCATCACAGTAAAAGTTGATTAAGTGACAACTGTTTCTCCTCGTTTGTCCAGCTAAATATGTACATTTAAAGCTATCAAAAAGATGAAATTTGAATTGTTAAAATGTTTAATTCACTCATATTTGACACAGTAACATCAAGAACAAGAATTTAGAATTTATGAACACAATACAATATCCAAGAGGCAAAGAATTCAACAAAATTTACACATAACTGAACAAAAAGCATGGCCCATCAAAAATTCAACTCAAATCGCATCTCAGACACAAACCCACAAAAAGTTTCAATCTGTAAAACCCATCAACATCCTTTAAGTGAAAATTTGATAATAGTAACAAGAGCTTTATAGCCATCATATAGGAGATATTTTGAACAGCAAGCATACGAACAAGAGCTTCCTTCCAAGAAAAGACAATCACATTTTCCATCTTCTTAATAGAATCGCACTGGTGAGATAATTTATGTACCTAATTTGAACAAATTATTCAGTCATCACAGTAAAAGACATACAGTAACAACTGTTTCTCTTTGTTTATCCAGCTAACTATGTACATTTAAAAGTACCAAAAAGAAGAAATTTGAATTGTCAAAATGTTTAAATCACTCATATCTAACACATTAACCCATCAAAAACAGGAATTTAAATTTTATGAACACAATACAATATTCAAGAGGCAAAGAATTCAACAAAATTCAATACATAACTCAACAGAGAAACCAATAACCCATCAAAAATTCAACTCAAATCATACACCAGACTCAAACCCACAAAAAATTTCAATGTGTAAAACCCATCAACAACATTCATTCTTTGAAAATCACATAAAACAAAAAGGAAAAAATAATAGCTTTATCAGATAAACGAAGACCTGGGTTTTGTTGTAAAAGACTTCATTTTTGGCGTGCATGATAATTTCAGCTTCTCCTTCTTTGATGATAGTGAAATCGTTGAGATCAGACGGCACAGTTTCGGTTCTCTGCTTCTCTTCCTCCCCTGTTTTCTCAAAACTACCCATATCAAATGCTAATGTTTCAGAGGGGGCTTTTGGTTCAATTGGTGGTGGCGGCGGAGGGTGTTAGAGAGAGGAGGGGAGGCTTCTACAACTTGAATCAATATTGTTTTTAAGTCTCAGAGCTTTGGGAAAGACTGTGCATGAAACGGAATGGGTTATATATATATATAACATGCTTGAAAATAAAAACCCTATATTGATGAGTGTTACTTCCATTTTAACCATCATGTAACTCCTGTAACACCACACGATCGCTTATACTAGTGGCACGGCCAAACGTGAAAGTGATCGTGGTCGTAAGGAAGGTTAACTCGAGAGTTTGGAAAACACCAAGGCTGTGGTTAATGTCCTAAATACCCTTATAAAAAAATTATGCTAAACAAATTTTCTTAATTGAAAATTTTGAAAATGGTAACACTCGTCAATTACCACCATGTAATTTTACCATTTTAACCACCATGTAATTTTCTAATTAACATTTTAACACTCATCGATAATTACCATTTTAACCACCATGTAATTTTTTAATCGATAATTTTGACATCTCGAGCCCTTTTGGTATTGGGGTTGTAACGATAAATGCACTTTTATTTGTATAGTTGTCATAGAAGTGTAATTAATAAAAAAAATATGTTACGCTTTAGTGATGCATTATAGACTTTTATATTTGTTTGGTCGCAACTCGCAAGCACTTTAATTACTAATTTTTCTATATTATCCATATAGTAATATGTACATTACTCAAATATAAATAATTTAAACATATTTAATGAATATTAATTTCTATTTGATATGAGATTTTTTTTAATAATAAAATATTCATATTTACACATATGATATTTAATAATAAGATTTAATGAAATAATTATAGTATTTAATAGTTATACGCATGTATACCTATATGCAAACTAAAATCATGACATCAAGACGACTAATGATTTTAGAGTTATAGCTAAATATATTATTTATCTAAACGTTTTTTTTTTTTATCTAGATAAACATATAATTATAAGAATTTAAGAGGATTAGATTGTCTAAAGAAATTAGATACTAACCTCTATGAGACTATGCAGAATACAATTTCAGAAACTCCAATTTCCAACTTCATCCAAAAACGTTTTATTTATTTATTTATTATTATTAAACCTCCATTCCCTAAACACGCTTAATCTAAAAGCACTTTATTATTATTATTATTAAACCTCCATTCCCTAAACACGCTTTTTTTATCTTCACCAAACATCACTAAACACTATTTTTCTAATATATCTTCCCTTAATTATTTGGGTCAATCTAAGGTTTGTTGTCAGGTCATTGTTTAAAATATTAATCTATACAATAATCTTTTAATCAAATATTAGAAGAAATTTAGACATAAGGCTTTGATTATACAGACAAAAATATGTTGATATTTTCAAGAAATTCATAAAATGAAAGAAAAAATTTAACTATTACAATTCCATGCTGATACTGCATAAAGGGGTCGATCATGCCAACATATCATTAAGCTTCCTCTTTGACTAATGATCTTATAACCATCCGAGCCATAAGCCTCCACCAATTGCTTTGCATCCTCCATGCAATGGTACCACAGGCGCACCGGTTTGAAACCAACTCGGGCGAACCTAACCATCCATCTTGCGTACCGTTCATGTCTCTTCCCCCTTTCTAGCCCTTCGCACGTAATAATATTTTCAATATCTTTTCCAAACATTTCTTCTAATGCAATTCGTTCTTCGTGTGAAGATCCTTCGAACGCGGCATCAATTGAGTCAAACATCGCGCTATAGTAATGCAACCCTTCAATGAATCGATCCACCAGACGGTTCAAATTGTGATCAGATTCTTGTTCAACTAGTAACAACACCTTAGGTGACATTGAATGCAACATTGCTAGGAATTCGCTCATTCGCTTACAATCCTTAACAACATTGTTCTTGTTGACACCAAAATGTGCATCCACGCGATCATCCTCGGCTAATAAGACATGAAGATTTAATATTGATGTCAAAGCTAAGGCTTCACCTGATCTTACCTTAAGCGTGTGTATGGTAAGCTCTCCTAGAGTGACATTTACTGGATTGAATTGAAAGGGCATGTCTAAGCTCTCAGCCTCCTTAACAAGCTTTGCTCCTAATTTCTCTAGCACAACTTTGTTGCTATTAACACAAGTGAACTTCAAATGGGGAGGCCCATTTGGCAACTGGGCCAAGCTCCGAAGAAGTGGGACCCACAATTTTGGGTCACCCGAGCCCAAATCAATAATATGGACAATCCGCTCGTCGGACATGGCTTGGATCAGGGTTCGGGTAATGATGGCATAGGCAAAGCCCATGTAAGGAAAGGCTCGAGTAAAGATGGATCTGGCCCGGTCCAATTCAACATCGGCTGGTCCAGCATGGTTCAAGGCCTTATATAGACCGGGCCAGCGCTTAACCAGCCGGACCGCTAGGGCGGAGGCGAACCGGGTGGCCAGACGCTGCATGGAGTCGCCGGAGACAGAAGCAAGCTGGGAAATTTGGCGGAGGCAGGCGTCGGCGCGGTGGAGGTTGCCGGAGGAGGCATGGTTAGCACATGCTAGCAAGAGTTGGATTAGTTTAATGCCTCTTTCTTCAGGCTTCAAGGCTTCAAGAGGAGCAGGGGATGACAAAGTTAGGGACAGAGTAACATCAGGCTTTAGTGATAGAGATGAAGAACTCATTAGGACTCTCTGCAAAATCTGGAGACACTTCTTTACTGCTAAAACTTTAATTTAGGGATGGTTTTGGAAGATGTAATGATACTTATAAGCTAAAGGATCAAATTTTAGAGCAGGTGAGAATAATATAAAAGGCTAGCTATTGGAAGTATATATCATATATACTTGTCCAAATAGTAAAGTACAAAGAAAAAAAAAAGTTTCTTAGTTTTATGAAATTGACTTTTCTTGATTGTAGTTGGTCAAAGAACAAGAGTGTTTCTAACAAAATACAAGAATAAACTTGATTTAATTATTTTATTTTAATCAAAATATCGGGACAAATAATAGATATTTTTCGCATTAAGACAAGGCCAGATGATTTAATCTCACCACCTCAAAAAGGAAGTTGAGTATTCGAGTTTTACTAAGAATAATATTGTGAGCGCATGCACGTTATTTTCACTTATTGATTCAAATATTGTCATATCAAGTTTCGCGCGCACACATATATATATATATATATATTATATCTCAGCCATTTGTTCCAAAACAAAGTTTAGGATTGTATGAATCTATTCATCTCCCCACTCACAAAGTGAAAATGACTAGCTTGCCAATTGGAGGGTACATTTCATCACCAATATTGTTAGAAGTGCTATCCATCTCACCCACCACAAATTTGAACGTGAGGAGAGAGAAAGACGAGCATTAATTACTAAAAATTCCAACAGCAAAAATGATAGAAGGTCCGAGGATCAATTAACGGTTACAATGGCAACATTTAGTTAGTCCAAGAACAAGAGGTTGGGAAAGCATTTTTTAACATAGACATGCATTGAATTTAAGTGCCAAACCTTTTCAACCTTTTGTGGACTTAGCTGTTGATTGAAGTAGACCGATATTAAAAAATAAAAATAAAAAAAACAAATTGATAATTTCGTTGGTCAAAAAGCGACATAGTTGAAAATAGTGGTAAAATTCATATTTCATCAGTATCACCATTCAATTATACACCTTCACTACCTTTCCCAAAAAAAATTATACACCTTCACTAGAAAAATGCATGCCAAAGTTAAAAGAAAACTCATCTTTCTTTTAGTAATGTATGATACAATATCACTGATATTAATATGAGTTTAATTGAAGTGTCTAATACACACACACATATATATACATATATATATATGTGTGTGTGTGTGTGTGTGAAAGAGTTATTATGCAGATGCTTTCCGACAAGAGGTGCAACTCAAGAGGGTACGTTGAAGGTCAACTCTAGCCCAACCACACTATGAGCAATGCTATCCAAGTTGGTGTTGCATCCGACCTCGAGTTAGGAAGAGCTAGCCCGAGTCCTATCATGGCCTGGTTAATCGCGTTGTTCAGATAGATATCTAATTCAGTAAAATTAGATCTATTTTTAAAAACAATTCAATTTTTGCATAGTCTAATATAAGGTTAGATCATGCTAAAATTCGAGTTGAATTCGGGTTATTTTCTAATTTGATTATTCCTAACAGAAAATCAATCTTAAAACTTAAATTAAAATCCCAAATTTAAATATATATATATATATATATCTATATATATATCTATATATATATATATATATATATCCTTCGAAAAATAATTCTCAAAAGTAAATAAATCAAGATTGAAATTAACAAAATGAAGTGAAAAAAAGTAAAGGATAATCATAATTTGAAATATATATAATATATTTAAAATTACAAAATATATAAAAATAAAATGACAAATTGGGTCATATGATGGACTTTGTTCACCTCAATACAAATTCAACCCTAATTAAGTTCGAATTAAGACAATTCTAGTTGTAAAAACGATTGTTGATACCCTATCCAATTAACCCGGCCAAATTGCTACATTATCCTTAAAACATTTTCATAAATCATAAATGACAAACTCTTAAACACAATTACATATAATAAGAAAAAAAAAAACCACACGCATAAATAAATAAATAAATATTGGCTTAAAGAGGAACAAGGTGCAATTTCTATATGTGCAACTCATGAAGGCAATTAAGTCAACAGGATTACCAACTGTTTTATAACTATAGTGTTCTAGTCCTCAGGAATTCAACGCTTACTTCCAAGTAGCATACATTAAAATTAAACGTTGTTAATTAATGAAATATATATAATAAGAAAGGAAAAAAAATAGGTAGAGAATCCATGGATATATATATGTATCTTGATTATTTAACATGCCGCCTTCATTAGCTTTTTCTTGTCTTCTTCATAAAGAGTTAATTGAGGTCTCTCTCCATTAGTGGAGACACGCCACTGGTATGGTCATCGCCGACCAGATGTGGGGCGACGGGTCAATAATTTATGGCCTCCCTCCCCCCCCCCCTCTCTCTCTATATATATTTGTATATGTTGGCTGGTCTTTGTCCCAAATCGTTCATATTATCAATTTACGCAAAAATTAAATAAATAAATAATTCATATTATTTTCTTCTAAGTTGGTCGATTCATAATTACCGGTTGTAAAGTAAGTGGTATTGGGACTTTTTTGCACGTTGCAACAAACACATCAAACCGTTTATAATGGCACGTGTATTATACGAACTGTCCAAATGCACCCTAAATTTTTTTTCACAATCTTGTCTCAAGTGGATTTAAGACACTCCATAACCCACTGGATCCACTTAGAGCCAAAACCCATTAATTCCATAATACGCTACAAAAAGTCCCACCTAACTGAGTCATAAGGCTCAGTGAGCTCAACCTTCAAAGCAATTTGGTTAGGTCCTCTTTTGTTAGTGAAACCTCCGATCAACTCATGGAACATCAGAATAATGTGTTGAATAAGCCTGTCTCCATTGATCTAGTCTCGGGAATAAACTGCAGATTGGAGAGAAGATCATTTGTTTGAACTACGAATGGGTGAACCTAAACAGGAAGAGAACCATTCCCGCTGGCTCGCCGGACAATGGAGAAACCCTACTCGTCACAAAAGAGCCCTAACTGCCTAGGGAGCAGTCACGTAGTTCTCTACTAGAACTTACCTTGTTGGTTGTTTGTAAAAGTATTGTAAAACATTGAAGAGTTTGTAAAAGTGATGGTTTAAAAAAGATTTTAGAAGTTGAGGGAGTTAGATGGAGTTTGTAAATATTTATGTATGGTAAAAGAGATTATGGAGTATTGTTAAGGATTTGTAAAAATTGATAATTTAAAGAATATTTTTGAAGTTAAGAGTTGGAGACCCCTCTCGATTGTAGTTTCATGGGTAAAAATAAGTTGCGTGAGTGGAACAACTCATTATCAAACGTGTGCAATGTACAATTATGTTTTTCGCTATAATATAATACTAGTTATCGTTTTATTAAATCGTCTTAATGGTAAAACAATTCGACATGTTGAATCAATCTGTAGCCACGTTACTAATATGTGGAGGTATGTGGAGGTTCAATGTGGATCGTTGCGTAGAACAATTCGACATGTTGAATCAATCTGTAGACAGTTATTAATATGTATGTGGAGGTGGTATATGGATCAACGATCCACATTGAATATTATTAATAATGCTAGTCTGAGGGCAATTTAAATGCAGGGAATCTTCCTAAATTTTGATTGATCCCCATTAAAAATTCAAAACATTCATTACCAAAACTCTCTTTTAGTTAAGTTATTTAGTCTCATTTTTTAATGCCTTCTAATATAAAACATCATAATTATATAAGGATAAAATTACCCCACCAATATTTATCCAACTACAGCAACATAATTATATATATATATATATATATATATATATATATATATATATAGTATATCTGAAGAATTATGTTTCTTTTGGTTGGAGGGATGGAAGAGATAGGAGAGAAATGGATGAGGAATATTTAGGGAAGAAAATGTGTCTCCTCCATTTTTTGTTTGGTTGAATGGAATGGAGAGTATAAATGATAGATAAGGTGATTCTTTTTATTATTATTATTTGGTTGGAAGGAAAAGAAAGAGAGTTTTTATATATTTTTTACTAATGTATACTCATTGTATCCATTTGAATTTTTTTGAAAGGGTTAAAATTAAAAATTGTATATGTGTATGTAGTTATTCATTTTCTCTCTCCTCCCTTCTTCCAAAATTGGCCGAATAGAAAAACAAGAAGAAATGAGGGATGTTTCCTCCCTCTCTTCCCTTTTCTCCCATCAAACATGAAAATGTTCATACATTCCTCCTTAATCCTTCCCTCTAACCTAATATAGCATTTGTGTCTATATATATATATATATATATATATGAAGAATTAGTGTGTGTGAAGAATTAAGCTAGCCATCTATTTTTGGGTTTTATTTATCTATTTTGTGGATTTTATCGATTTTTTTGTAAAATTATACATATATATACACATATATTCTAATGGGTATTTTGGTCACTTAATATGATTTAATAGGTAGAAATGTCATTTTATACATCAAACATCCATTTAGTAAGTCAACATAAAGTCAGAGGAGTAACAATGTCTTTTTACATGTTAAAATTGATCTGATAATGAAAGTTATATTTCATAAAATATTTTAATGTAATATTTGATCAAATCTAAAAGAGTGTCACTGTAATTAACCTAAAAAACTAAAACAATTGCCTTATAGTTTTCCCCAAACTGTCTTCTATTTTCAAAATTCTTAAAAGACTTTTTTAAAACCTCATGTCTCACAAACCCAAGGTTATTTGATTTGGTTATTTTGTCTTGGAAGGATTTCTTGTAAAATTTTTGAAGTACAGGGCATATATGTGATTGTAAGTCGTAGTGAATGATACCATCAATTTCCCGGACAAGAAAGAGAGAAAATGATCAGCACAAATACAAGAAAACCTCGAAGTGGAAAAACTAACTGTTTTAATGGTTGAACACCCATACTTGGCCACGCATCTTGGAACACAATATAGCTTGTTTTCATTTGTTGCCAAGAATTATGAAGAGTGTCAGATGTACGTTTACATAATATGATTATTTCGAATTTGAAAAAAACAAAAGGAAAAATAGTACTACTCAACTTCCGCACCAATGGTTTTTATTTTTATTACTAGATGATGCAGTACTAAATTTTTGTTAAAGATCACGTAATTGAGCTTTTGCAAGAGGAAATAACATTATTAACTCAGATAATCGTGATCCATATGACCATATATATATATACACACACATATATACACACACACATATATATATATATATATATATATATATATATATATATATATGTATGTAGCAGGGTACCGTTGAAGTTTCGACACATTGTTTAACATATTTACGTGGTAATTTTTTGTTGTCTAATTCGGAATTGATAAACTATTAGAAATTGTTTGATTGTCTCTCCCTTCAAAAAATAATTTTTGAAGAATTTAAAAAATTATTTTGAATTATAAAAGGCTGTTATTTGAAACATAATTTTTTTTCTCATTAAACAATTCTTAAAAAAAGGTTAACTAAACAAGTTTTGCACAATTTTTTGATTTTTAATTCTCAAAGAATAAAAAAAATTTTCATCTAGAATACTGCATCAAGTGAAAAGTCGCTCCAAACTTGACAACTTTAATGTGGGGTAGCGAATTTTCACAATATATATATATTTTCAGTCTAAAGTTTGCATATCCTTCTGGATAAATTTAGATATTAGATTAACGTTTGACCTAGTTTTACATATGAAAAACTATGGTTAGTTGACTTTTGTAAACCATATATGTGTTAAGTGAAAGCTAAAATATTAGATCAAAAAAATCGTAACAAACTGCAACGATAAAAGTTACAAAAATCACAAATTCACAATTAAAAAGGATTTTAGATGAATAGTTCAAAGACGATTTGAAGATCTTTATAATACATTAACAATATGTATATATATTATGTAGAGTTCTGAATTAGGTGAAACATCAGGTTCATTTTGTTTGGAGCACCAAATTAACTCTTGAGTTAAATTAAAAATCAAAAAATTTAAAATTAAATTTTCTTCAATTTTAAATCATACGTGAATTAATTTGCTAATTCATATAGATTCTGAGTAAGACATGTTAAATCTAATACAGAATTGGATACACGGGTAGATACTCCAAAAGCCCAAAAGGGGCATCAAGGCCTTAAGGCCTGGAAGAATCCGAAAGACCAGAATTTCAAGAGTGTAAGGGCCCAAACAAATCCCAAGAACGACGGGCCCAAAATACAAATTTGAAATAGTTAATAGCCCATTAGAATGCAAGTCTCACATGATATCAATAGTTGTTTCACTATTAGTACGGGCTGCAATTCGGGCGGTCCCAATCCAAAATAACTCAAGCCTAGCCCGAAGTTTTGTGGGCTTGGATAATGTTTTTCTAAATTCGGTTTGGGCCTGGGATATGTTTTTCTAATTTTGGCTTAGGTTGATATGGATAAACCCCGATGCCCAACCCAAGTCCGAAAATATTATATATATTTATAATTATATTTAAGTCACAAGAGTGTAGTAGCCAAGTTAATAGTGTGCTGGGATTTGTATTTAAAATTTTTGGTTCAAATCATGAGTGTAGCATTAATTGAATTATTTATTTACACACAAATTCTTCGTGGGCTTAGTGCGAGTTCGGGCTGAACAAATTATGTATGGGCTGAGTTGGGCCAGCTCGGCTCGGGCTTAAGGCAGGCAGGGTTTGGGCTGAAGATATTTTATATGGGCCTAACCTGAGATGAGTGTCAAGCTCGCCCAACCCGCCCCAATTGCAACCTTACTATTAGTCGTCCTTTATGACTTTAAATCACCATTTTCCATCCAAAATTACTTCAATATTTATATATTTGTTCCGATATAATCTATCATTGACCACAATATATATATATATAAATAAATTAGTCTTCTGATAAGACTATATATGTGTTGCTTTATGTACAGTTGAAGCTCTATGCCAAACGTTAGAAGAATGAAACATTTGTTCACAATATATATCACCCTTTTTTCTTTCTTTTTTTTCATGGAGAAATAAAAATATAATTTTGGGTTGTGTTGCGAAATTAAGTAGAAAAATAAATGATACACGCGTAACAAGAACATGTATTTTACTTGATTCACCTAAATATTAGTGTTATATTTAAGAATTGTAGATATTTCACATGATAAAAAATAGCAACCGAGATAAAGAGTTTAGAATGAATAAATATCTTTGAATTAGGACAACATAACAAGAGCGAAAATTACTAAAATATTCCCTACAAATTTAGCTGAATGCGCGAAATTAGACTTTAGTGTACAATGTTTATCAAATTCCACATTACCTATCAGGTTAAAATATTAAATATAACCTCCTGTTCGATATAGGTTTAGGTATGAAAATTCAGAGTTGTTAATCATTCCTTAATCCAACACCATAATTTATTAATTAATCCAATATGCATTATTTGATAATCTACTAATTAATCCAATATGAATCTACTGCAGATTCATCTAGAAGCCTTTTGCTACCAACAATTAATATCTTCTATGACCTGTAAAGAGAGAGAAACGCACGAAGATTAACACGTTTTTCTAATAAAGATTTCTTCGGCATCTTCTCCACCACTTATTCTATACATGGACGGCTCAGATGAACTCTCACAAAAAGTGTGCATTTCTGGCCCTTGATTGAGCTTCATCACTACAAAATATAGCATGATTAACAACACTTAATGACAAGCTTAACAAACATTTTTTAAAATGCCTTCCAAACACACCACTCCACTTTGAAGGGGAAGACCAAAAAGCTTTGAATCTTCTTTTTAGTCTATCAAATAAACCATTCCAGACTATGATCTTCAAAACTTTTTACTAGATCTTGAACTCAACTCTCCATAATCTTTTAAAACTTTATACTAATGAATGGTTTAAGTTAAACCAGAAATACCTATATATGGCATTATGCTAATAGATTATTAAGTTTAGCTACTTAAACAATGCTTAATTATTCAAAAAGAATGTACTTAACTACACGAAAATCGCCACGCGTCTGCTAGATGACACACCAAAGTAGTCCATTTTCACATATTCTAATCCCCCATTACCCAAATTAGCATCCCAGAAGCTTCGATGTGCTAGCTTTTACATTAGTCATAATTAGTAGTACTTAATTATCTCTAAAGCATGCAATTAAGAATTACGCCCGTTGACCAGGTGTCGCGCTACAATTGGCGCAGAAGCCATTTTCACAATGAAAACCATCAACAACCCCACTGAATAATCAAGATTATGTGGCTCTCTTTAATCTTGTGACGATGAATGTGTTTTTGTGTCACGGAATTGTGATGTTTGGAATATATAAGATTGTGACGTTTTGTGATACGGTGACTAGGATTTAGATGTTACACTTGGTTGATTGTGGTTGGTCACAAATCTGCATAGAGCACAATTTGGTGACACCTGTGTGAAAAATTGGGGGACAATAGAGTACTTGTTCTGTAATAGAGAGCTAGAGAGATTTTTTTTTTTTTTTTTTTGAAAGATTGAGTGGGAATGAGATCACTAAGTTGCTAAAAAGGACTTGAAGTGACTGGTGTTGTGGGAGGGGTATATATATAGAAGTGAATCTGTGATGCAATTTGTGTCATACATATTGGAGACAAATATAATATATTCTACGAGTGATCGAAGTTCGAATATGGTTGGGCTGATGGGTTGGGGAGCTCCGGAGCAAGGGTGGAGGAAGGGACCATGGACACCCGAGGAGGACAAGTTGCTTACTGAATTCATAAGCATCCATGGAGAGGGAAGGTGGAGTTCTGTCGCTAGGTCTACAGGTACTAATTCACACACACACATATTATAAATTTTGTATTGTTTTACCCTATGTTTTCAAGATATGTTTTTCATTTTTATATATTTATTTATTATTTTTTCGGTTTTCAGGATTGAATAGGAATGGGAAGAGTTGCAGGCTGAGGTGGGTGAACTATCTAAGGCCAGGTCTTAAGAGAGGCCAATTAACACCTCAAGAGGAAGGCATTATTATTGAACTACATGCCCTGTGGGGTAACAAGTAATGTCTCTCTCATTTTCCCTCCAAATATATATATATATATACACACACACATTAGCTAATATATGTGGTTAATTTTTATTGTACAGATGGTCTACTATTGCTCGATACTTGCCTGGAAGAACCGATAATGAGATAAAGAACTACTGGAGAACTCATTTCAAGAAGAAAGGGAAGCCCTCTCAAAGGCAAGAGAAGAGAAGAGCTCGAGTTCTTCTGGAGACACAACAGCAGCAAGAAGATGACATAAATAATAAGGTGTTGTTACCTCATGAAGAAGCTGTGAGCGACGAGAAGAAGACCGAGGCACAAGGCCAGGAAGAGATGGTTGCCATGTACTCTACTGTGAAGGATCCATGCTTGCCTGTGATGTATCAAGATGTTACACCGTGGTTCGACGCCATCATGGAGGATGGCTTATGGAGTGACTTGTGGAACCTGGATGATGCACAGGCTCATTTGGACCAAGGAAGGGAAGGTGATAACAAGATGACCACCCAAAATCAAGCCACTGCCAATTATTATGGAGATGATCATATAATTAACTGGTATAATGGAGGGTACAATTTTTAAGGAAGCCCGATGGAATATACCAAATAGTTTTCTTATTAATTGTTCTAGCTTGCTTGTAACACTTGGGTTAATCTTTACATTCCAGTTAATCTTGTAACACTTGGGGTTTTTCAGGTACTCTTTCTTGCAATTAAAGGAATTTGAAATTGATCTACACTGTACTAGTTGTTAATTCATGAATAAAATGTTACATTTTTATTTAAGGTATTTTTTGGCATCCTTTATTAAACTTTACTGCATTCATTAAATCAACACATTTTAAGAATTGGACAGAGTCTCTGTTGTGGGATAAAGAGGGTCGGCATACATACTCTTTCACATTCGCTTGTCAAATAGACAAACTAAGACTGAGCATGGTCAAAAGACGAAGACAAATGGGGACAGTGTGTTTTTAGCACAAGAATTACTCCATGATTATTATAGGCATCTCTCCCCCCCTTAGGTGTGCAATGAAGATAGATCTAAGGAAGGCTTTTGACTCACTGGGGTGGGATTTTGTGTTGAATACTTTGGTCCTACTTGGTTTCTCTCTCCTATTCACTGAATGGATTAGAGTCTGCATTACTTCCCCATCATTCATTGTATCTATAAATGGGGAATTCCATGGTCATTTCCAAGGTGTTAAGGGGCTAAGACAAGGTGATCCTATCTCATCCCTGCTTTTTGTGGTGGCTATGGATGTCCTATCATCTATCATCAAATGAATGGTTTAACTTTGGAATATTTTGTTTGTAGCAGTTTCAAAATTTGTTTTGGTTGTAGCCTTTTTGTTGTCGGTCTTCCCCATTTGGGGCTCACTGTAAATTCTTCAACCTTATATACAAGCTTACCTTTAAAAAAAAAAAAAAAAATCAATCATCAAAAGATTCATTACTAATAATCCAGATTTCAAATACCATACAAGATGTAGGAAATTGGCCATTTCCCATCCATCTTTGCTGATGATCTTCTACTGTTCTCCCAGGGGAATTTATCCTCTATCACTACTCTCAAACAAGCACTTGACCATTTCTTTACTCTCAGGTCTTTCTATCAATAGCTCTAAAAACTCCTTCTTTGTATCTGGAGTGGATGGTGTACTAATTGATGACATCAAGGCCTTGGCAGGGTTTGATTGTGGTTCACTACCTATAAGGTATTTGGGAGTGCCCCTAATCACCACTAGACTCAATTCTAATGATTGTAGAGGGTTGGTGGAAAGGATCACAAGCAGGATTAACCACTGGCCTCTTCATCCTACCCATGGCAGTGATCACAGAGATTAATAAACTTATACGAAATTCTTATGGACAAGCACTGACTTTAAGCACAAAGGGACTAAGGTCAATTGGGAAGCATGTTGTCAGCCTAAAGAATGTACGGGACTTGGTTTCAGAGGTCTTGAAGTGGCAAACAAAGCAGCTGCTCCAAGGCATATATGGACTCTTTTTTCTAATCGAAGGGACAACTTTGAGCTCAATTGGTGAGCGTACATGTAATATTCCTAATTTTAAAAGGATAGTTTCAGGATTTATTTAATTGTTTTATTGTATTTTTAATTGATTAATTGATTATTTGATTAGGTGGCTAATTGTTTTTGTGTGTAATTGAATTAATTGATTAATTTTAATTGTGTACTTTAATGGTATATTTAATTAATTATCAGTATGAATTGATTTGTTTAAATGCTATGTGATGAAGTTTATTTATTTAGGGATTTAAATATTTTATTTTATTTTTTTATATTTTAAAGGATGGATATGGATAGTTTATTATTATTATTATAATTTATATTATAAATAGTAATAGTATTATTATTGATATGGACAGTCATTGTATATATTATATATAGTTATAATATTATATATATATATATATATATATATATATATATATATATATATATATAATAAGTATTCACGTTAGTAGACTATGTATATATATATATGTATATATATATATATATTTTTCTTTTCTATTGCTTTAAGGTAAGTAGAATTGGGATCTGATTAAGAGTTATAGTATATATATACATATTTATTTCAATTCGATATCATAATGAAGCGCACAATAACTTAAAATAAATTGACTGAAATTAAATGATAATTTAATATAGTATAACAAAATAAATTGACTGAAATTAACTGATATTAATGAAAGATAATTACGACAGAATATAATAACTTACAAACTGATAATTTACTGGTAGATGGTGGTATACAACATACTGGAGATGTAATACAACGAAGATAGAAAAATATGAATATTACAAATGAAGATTGATAATATGAAAACTGAAGCCTGAGTTCCCTCTGAATGAAGCCTGCCTATCCGATGGACTGGCTTCTTTCTTTATAGCTGGGTTTCTGCACTGTTGAAGGACTATTGGAGACATCTTTCCGGAATCTGCTACGTAACTTTTGGCTTTGAAAGATACTTCTGACTTTTCTGACTGAGGTTTACTGTAGATGTTACTATTCCTGTCCTTTTGCGCTGACAATGACGGCACTGTAGATGAATAGTGTTTTGTCGGGTGACTATAGAAATAGTGATCTGCCGACAGTACTGTAACAAATAGTAATGTTGACTTGGTACTGTAGCAAATAGGAACTCTGGCCAAATAGTGATTTTGACTTTTTCTGGCCTATAATTCAAATGGATTCTGGGCATCCTGAAGATCATAATAAGGATCTTGTGGGTGACTTGACTTAGCAGCAGAGGAAGCATCATCTGCTTTTTCTTCATCTTGGGATAGTTCTTGGATGCAATCAGTCAGTGTGGCTGCCATCCTTTTGAGTTCCTTAATTTCTGACTTGGGAATATGCTTCCGAGATTTGGTAGATGTAATAGTGTTTGTAGGAGAAGACTGTTTTTGTTGAATGGCTTGTTTTGGTGGTGGAGTGACTTATCTTGAGGTTTGCTTTGGGTAATCATCTTCAATGTATCCAATAATTCTGTTAATTTTGAAAATGTCCCACCATTTAACATAGTGGCGACGGATGAGCATGTTATCCTGGATATCGTATTGCCATTTGAATATCTATGGGACCTTATACTTACAGCAAAATAATAAGAGGACTGGGAATGGTGAACTGTGTTTGTTAACTTTATGAACTATGTGGAAGTATTTGACTTGATCTGCAAGGGAAAGTGGCAAGATTTCTGGAATGGCGCTATGATGAGACCACCAATGCAGAAACCAGGTAGGGAGTTAACTTTTGAAATGACTATCAAAATTGAGAAACCAAGAATGAGTATACGACTCATTTTGGTATAGGAATATGGAGGACCAGGCTGATACATAATCATAATATGTAAACTGAATATTATGATTAGGCAGTGGTTGGGGTAAGTAGGGATGACTGCCATATTCTTCCATGGAGATAATCCGTCGGATATATAGGGAGTGGTAAATGACTTTGGAAGAATCATTGCAATCATAAGTTGTCTTAATGGTTATGGACTCTGTATGGTACAGAATATCTCTGTAAAACCCAAGAGTTTTATGAGGATGATTTAGGGCATAGTGAAGGTTACTTGGAAAATAAGAGCGAGCTAATTCTATAGGGTCTTTAATGTGACTAAGGTGTGGCTCAATGTGGAATAGAACAACATGTGCTTTTTCATAATATGGACTTGATGGCTTTCTAGTAGTTGATTTTTGGACTTGGGACTGGGTCTGAACTTGTGTTTGGACTTGGAAAGGGTCTGGTGTTGGATTGACCAGAGCTAACTTAAAAGTTGATTGGGAGGCAAGTGGTTGGAACCGGTTGACCACTGCTAGGGCAGAAGAGGATTGTGACTGTGATCGGGTAAGTGAAGCTTTGCCTGAGCAAATATCAAAGGGTTTAACTGGTTGAGGCCCCTGGGGAGGCTGCCGGTCTGCCATCAGATTTCTGCAAGAATTCTCTGGTGAGAAAATCTGGAATGGAATTGTTACAGCCTTTAATATATTCTATATCAAAATCAAATATACTTAATATGGCTTGCCACAGGGCAAAAATCTGTTTAGAAGTAATATTTTTAACATCTTTTCTAAAACATATTTTGCACTTTGACAATCAACTCGAACTAAAAACTTTTGGTTTAAAATATCATCTTAAAATTTACTAATGCATAAAACAATAGATAAAATTTCTTTTTTAATAGTACTGTAATTACTTTGTGCTTTTGTCTAAACACCAGAATAGAATCAAACCAATTGTTTAGGTGCATTTGGACTGACCCGTTGTTTGAGGTTGCCATTATAACCAATGTCTGAGGCATCAGTTTCAATGATTTTGAAAGAATCAGTAGTTGAAATGCCAAGACAAGGCAATGACTTGACATATTGTTTGATAGATTTGACTATACTAGAATGAACAGAAGTACATGGAGGAGGATTACTTTGAAGATGATCAAAGAGTGGTTTACATTACTTACGAAGATTTTTGTAGAAATCAGCAATGTAATTGAGAGATCCTAAAAACCTTTGGAGTTGTGACTTATCAAGAATTTCATAAGGGAACTTATTGGCAAATTGGATTGATCAGTCAATAGGACGGATGTGGCCTTGATAAATGTGATAACCTAAAAAGCGGATTTTGGTTAGGAATAACTTGATTTTTGAAACAGAGACTACAAGACTATTTTTTTGGATGACAGCAAGAAACGTTTTTAAATGTTTCCAATGTTCCTCAATTGACTTTGAAAAGAGGAGAATGTCATCAATATAAACAATGGAAAAATGACTATAAGGATTAAAAATATCATTCATGATATTTTGAAATTCACTGGGGGCATTTTTTAATCCAAATGGTATGACTTTCCACTCATAATGACCAAAGGGAGTGGTGAAAGCAGTTTTATACTTATCTTCTTTTTTTTTCTCAAACGAATTTACAAAAATCCTGACTTCATATCAAATTTAGAAAAAATGACTGCCTGACTTAGGCGGCTAATAAGGTCTTTCTTATTGGGAATAAGATACCTGATCCATTCTAAAACCTTATTACAGGGCTTGTAGTTTATAACTAGATGAG